GACTGACTTTAATTGGAGTTAAAACGTGGACGATTCAGCTTCTCAAATGTGAAGACTTGCTGCTTTTCTGTATTTCAACATATAATATGAATCTTTAGGTTTTTGAGTGTTGGTTGTTATTTGATGTCCTCACCTTTACAATCTGACCTATTTCTGACACAAACAATTAATCAGTTAATTGAAAATATAAACGATATTGAAAAGAAGTGTCAGTTGCAGCCGTAGCTGTGGAGATCCATGCAAGTGTGTCAGCAGTGTTTATTTATTTATTTTAAACATTCTGTTGAAAACAGGATAAAGAGTTGAATCAGATAAGTTTTCACTTTATAGCAATCCTTGATATCCTTTTCACTGGCATTCCAGGTGTGACACCTGCATGGGAAATGGCAGGAAACAAAATTAGCGTCATCTCGAGGAGAGGCGAGATCCGACGAGACCAGTGCAAGATCCAAGATGGCCGCCCCCTGCTGCTAGATTGTACACAAACTTTTCCCACAAAAATAAATCCCCTTTCTGTTTAAATTCAACTGGAATAATACAATCATTCGACCTGGGAGACCTTGAGGATTTTATCGACGAACATTTCAACCGTATTTTCACCACGGCCGACACGAAAACGGGACAAGACAATGACAACCTCGCCTCCACACCAAACAACAAGAGATGTCGACAATCCGACTCCATTTAATCCTCCCCGGACAAATCATGCTGTACAGACGTTCGTGACATTTTGCTTTCAATCGACAATAAACTCTCCAGACTAGACGCAGAAATAGCTCTCGAGGTGCTCCACAGAGAATTCCAGCAGCTCCGCGAAAGCCTCGAATTCAGCCAAGTACAAATATCCAGACTAACCAAGGAAAAGAAATCCCTCCAACACACCGTTACTTCCCTCACAACTCAGTTACATGAAAGAAACCCTTCTCGATCAATCAAACTGACAACCACAGGAGGGACATAGAACAAAAAAGCCGCTCCATCACACGCCATCCATGTTTCAAAAACCCGCCCATAGCTACAAGTCTGACAGCCTGGTGGACATTCAGCACAATCTCACCTACTAAATACACCCCCAACTGGAACAATCCTGACTTTTTAATCATTAGAAAACCACTACATTTTTCATCCTGGACTATTAAGGTATCACACACTTCAAACACATCTTCCATAATAATACCACGGTCTCATTGCCTTATTTGGTCCAGAAGTAGGACATTAGGGAGAATCACTTCTTAGAATATTTACAGATTAAATCCTCTATTCAGACTAAAAGACAACATTAAATCATTTAATTCTAATCTTCTCCCTGTAACGTCAGACCTGTTTAACATCACTACACGAAATAAACTACGATCCAAAAACTTCAAGATAATCTCCCTCCCTTTAAATTTACGGCACAAGACATAGAAATCATCCCCAGTGCCGACTTCTGGAACCAAACCTGCAAAGAACATCTTCTGTATATCCTCCAACAGAAACATGCAAAAATACAAGGTTCTTCACAGAATACACCACGCAGATACATTGTAAACAATGGTGATGTTTGGCATCATTCGGCTGCGTTCGGATGATTTTACAATACTTCATCAGCCATCAGCGACTGGGAGGACGACATATGAAAATAGTCATCTACCAATAACCCTTCACTTTAATATATTTTTTAAAGTTCTTGCCCTTTTTTCAAAGGGTGGCATGAATATCCAAACCAATGGCCATGCAAACCAGGCCTGTAGATATGAAGATATCCTGCTAATGATCAATGTGTCGGACTGATGAGTGGAGCAAATGACAAACCATCCTAACGTCCAACGTGCAACTGGCATAAAGAAAGAAATCTACTGACCTATTCCTTATCAAGTAACAATATAATGGAGCTTCTCCTCATTACAAACAAGTAGAGAAACAAAAGCATGCTTGAAATGCTGGCAGCTGGTAACACTCAAACAGTCTGAAGGTCCAAGCGAATGTGGCCCCTCAAAGTGGTGAACTCCCTGCTCATCGTGTTATCATGCTCCAATAATCTCTTTTATTCGCACTGCAAACATGCTGCGTACCGGGGCCAGGGAGAGGAAGGAGACTGGAATCCAGCAGGAGACCACACACACACACACACACACACACACCCACACACACACACACACACACACACACACACACACACACACACAGAGGGGTTGGATGAAGTAACGAGAGAACTTTCTAACAATACAGCAGCACTGCAAATAAACAGCAATTAGTTGAAGCTCGAAGTGTTTGGATTTTAGAGGACAGACTCAACTTCATCCTCATTTTTGGGTCATGATTTTTGGGGAATTATCCCGCTGAGGGTATTTTTCAGACAGCCTGCTGTGAGCATGGTCGGCATTGAAAATAAAATGCCGATAGAGAGTATGGGTGAAAGGGTAAAGCAACAATTATTGCCCCACACTGCTCTCTACCTCCCAGTACAACGGGGAGGAATGGGATCTAGTTCTGTGGTGCTCAAAGCTCTGAAAAACGTCCTTTAACTGTTGCAAACTCAACATTACTATCACTATGTATATCATTTTAGGAGATGTTTATTCTTCCTGCTTTAGTTTGTAAAGTTTATCATTTATTATTTTCACCCAGAAAGCCAAACAGGGTCCTGTTCTGGCCGGACACTATTTCCTGTGATCTTCAGTGAGACAGAAGAACCAACAACACAGGAAGCATCAGAGGATTTATTTTCCCACATCAGCTGATCATCCACAGCAACTTCAAGCAAACAGACACCAGGTGGCAGCATGTAACAGAGAATGTCACCCAGCAGCACGTTCATTTAAAGGGGCACTCCGCTGATACTGGTATATCAGTAGCCTATGAGATCAGGTGATTAATGTCTTCTGTGGTTCTCAAGGACGCTTTGTCAAGTCTGAGGAAATGGGGACTGGAGACTTCAGACTAATAACATGAACTGTTTTGAAAACTAGGGACGTCAAGTTTGAAAGATATACCAGTTATGATCTAATGAAAGATGTGATCTAGTTTCATTATGGGACGTTTAGGATCCAGTGTTTTTGGAAGTAGACCCACAGGAGTAGGCAGTGGTGGAAGAAGTACGTTTAATATACTAAAAGCAGTTAAACAATGTAAAAATACTCTGTTACAAATAATAGTCCTGCAATCAAAATATGTTCTCAGCATCGAAACTTAAAGTACCAAAAGTTAAAATACTCATGATGCAGGATTGCTCATTTCAGATAATAATATAATAATATAACACCACTGGGTTATACCGATTGATGCATTAACAGCTGGTAACGGTTCAGCTAGTTTCAACTATTATATACTTTATATACGGGTAGCTGTACTAATACATCATGATTCATTTATCGGTTTATATGTTGTACTGATAATCTGAATCTTTAAAGTAACTATACTAATGTTGCCAAATATATGTGATGAAGTAGAAGTATAAAGTAGCATAAAATGAACATACTTAAAATGAAAGTACCTCAAAATTGTCCTTGAAGTACAGTTGAGTAAACTTGCAAGTAGGAACGTTTTGACCATTAAATCTGTCTGTTGCATCAGCTTTATGGAACTGCAATAATATAACGTCCTTTAATAGGTTCAGAGAGTCTCTTGGTCTCTTAAACGTGAATACAAAGTTAGATTTAAGATTTGTAAACCCTCACATATAATGATCTCTGTTTATTTATTCATTAGGAGAATTTAAAGACGCATGGAGTCAAGTAACGAGAGGTTTTTAGTGTTTACAGTACCATGACCAACATATACTGTATATATTTTATATATATTGCACTTTTTCAGTTTAAGTGGCGAAAGAAGAATGTGTATGTTTTGTATGCATGCATGTGTGGATGAATTAACTGTAAACTGGTTTGTCTTTGCAGGAGTGGCCCGCTGTGTACCGGTGGATCCTCTGGAGCCACTTCTTCAGGACGCCTGCAGTAAGTAACAGATCCACAGTCACTGATCGAGCCTCTCTCTTCCTCACGTTTGTATTGTTTTCAGCACTTTCTTATTTATTTTCCTATGTGTTTCTTTCAATACTTTTTCTTTCAGTACTTTGCGAGTACATGTGATGTCAGCACATTGACGCACACTTTGGGGCTGTAAGGATGACATGTGTATAATATAATACATGTTTTGAGGGTTTAATGAGCTCACGTGTCTTATTAAAGAATATTCTGCAGGCCAGTGTCCTCTAAACGGAGGAGGGGGAGGTGACCTTTCCAGTGGAGCCTGCAGGTCAATAAACTGGAGGCCTGCTGCCTCTTTTGAATTCTTTTAAATTCACTGTTAGTTTGATTCATTGAGATTCAACAAACTCTGCCTCCTGAGTTTCTTCTCCGTGTCTTTCAGTCATCTTATTTTTAGATGTACTTGTGTGAATGAAAATAGCGATGGGGGGCTCTTGTACAGTAAGAATTGGGTGGTATCACTGTAGCGAGGCGGACTGGCTGGTTAAAAATAGCCTGACTGCTGCCCACAAGTGTCGGGCCAAGGAGGACAGGCTGTCTGGAGAAACCTAAAAAGGTCTCATGGGGCTTTACGCGTTGCCATTTGCCAGCAAATTGTCAAAATGTCTTTCTTGCTGAATGAATGTTTGTGAAATCTAAAGGTGAGGTGTCTCTTGTTAATTTTGTGACGAAAGGACATCTGTTGTTCTGCCGATAGTGTGATGGAAGACTGCAATGTGCCGTTTAAGCACTGATTTAAGGACTGACAAAATGAGTTATTGTTGTGTGAAGACAGTATGTCATTTTAGAAATCCAGCCCCCGTGAACTTAGAATTGTCTTTTTCACCTTTCACTAAATGTCCATAAATGTAATAAATGCAGCAGATAAAACATTCCTCTAATTAGTTCAATAAAATTGCAGCTGCGGATGCACACTCTTCATCTCCAAAGTGCAGAATGAGAACAAAATTTGGGGGTAAATGCTATATATAGTCTTAAGTGCGTCCATACAAGGGGTGGAAGGGGAACAGCATTCCTCCAGTCAGAGGGTAATATTTTTGTTGCCATCAGCAAGTGCTTCCCAAGCGGCATCAGGCTGGTCTTCCACCGCTTTGCGCTCTTTTGATCTCTTGGGGTAAGTCACTTTTCTTCATTCTGATTTCACTAGCAGGCTAATTCTACTAGAGAAAGACATTTTGAAAAGTCCAGAGTAGGAGAGGGAAGTTTTCAAGCGTGCGATAAGTGAAATGTGTTGCTGTAATAAATGGCAGTAGATTATCTGTCATGCTGTGTGAGAAACAGCAGCAGTCGGTTGAACCTCCCTGAGCTCTACTTCCTGACATACCGGGGCATTAAGTGGTGGCTGACCCTTCTTTTCCCAAGTTGTATTAGCTTAAAAAGAAATGTTCTTGTGTTGAAATAATTATTATACAGATTGGAAACATAATTAGTGCTGAAGTTTGGATTCGACAGCTGGTTTAGTCAATTAGTCTTGATTGATTTAAAAGAGCCTGTACAGTGGGATTGGTCTCATTTCCTGCACGCTGGTTCTTAATTAAGAAGTGAGATAAACGTTTCCTTCATTTCTCCGATCATGGAACAGGCAGACTGCTGCAAGCTATTCATAGCTGAGGCCTGTGAGGCAGTGAGGTGAAACATTTGACGCGCTGAGCTCTGGTGTATGTTTGAACTGTCCTGTCGCCTCCTAAATGTTGCACATGTCTTTCTCTGAGATATGCTCATGTGATATTTACGTATTCTTTGCATATCTGTGTTTAAGCTACGGTTATTTGTTACGTATAATATGAATATACATGATCTGTATCTATTGTAAATGTAAAGGTTTGTCCACACTTCTAACAATGTGGATGACAGCGACGTCATGAAGCCTGCGGTGACGGTATAATGTTCCAGGGACAGACTTCTTTGCTGTCCCGGCTAACACATGTTTGGTCTCCCCTCCTCCTCCCCCCTGGTGCTCGTGACCAGGTCTCCTTGAAGTGTTCCCGTCATGGCCTCCAAAGTCACACCGTGGTATAAGAAGAAGGGCGTGAGCCAAGTCAAATCTGATTATGCCTATCATCACACTCAATGTGTGCGTACCAAGCAGCAGACAGCAGTGAGGTATGGAGGTGGAAGCTCTTGCTGCTTTGCCCGGGCAGAGATAATGTGTCCTGCTGCCGCTGGCTGGTGGCCTTCGTGTTCCTGCTGCATACGTGTCTGCTTCATAGCTGGCTGTCCGTTTGTCCTCGGACGCCGTATTTAAAGCTGCATTTTAATACACAGATCCCCCGATGAACAAATACTGATTTTGAGCTCACGTTGATCCATTCAATCGAGCTCAACAGTTGGACTCAACGATGCTTTCGACCTTTTTGCCTTCATCCTTTTTTTGTTTGTTGGGTTTACATCATCACAGACTAGATAGTTTATCTGTTCACTATTATTTTAAGAACCACTATTTTAGTATAAAGATTCTTGCTGCAAATTAAAAGCGTTCCCATCTAAAAGTCTTTTGTCAAAATTGATATTTAACTACACCAAATATTGGTAACCTTTCATGCATATAACATAGTTATATCTGTTAAATATGTGTTGTGTGTTTTGTAATTGCTATTTGGTCACAAAGATGGCAGCTTCAAATGACTGTACATCTCAGATATAGTAAAAGCAGAATTAGTGGTATTACGTCTAAGAGCTATTGGCAAGAAACTGACAATTACAAGTTACGATTCAATATATTGCACTTCTTAAAATCAAATTTTAGGAAAACTGTCACAATACAAAGAAACCACAGCCATATGAATAACAATCTCATTATTAGAATTAAAGATTCACATCTTACATTTGCATCCTAATCTTTTAAGTGGGCGCTTAGGCCACGCGCTGTATTAGAGTTGAACAATATTGAAATAAGCAGCAGATACAGAACTACTTCTAGTAACATGTGGGAGCACCAATTAACGAGTGTGATGTCAGACGTCAAACAGTTTGCTAGTGTTGCTTAGGTTTTTTGACAGAACATTTTCTGTTGTGTTTATCTGGTCTGGAAACACTGATTTTCTTGCAGCGTAACTGGTTGAAAACACATTCAGTATTGTTTGGCCCATGACTCCTTACATTGATCTATATATGGCCCAAAATCTAAACATTTTCCCCTGTGGAGCCCCAAAGCTCTGGAGTCCGGCACAGGGCTCCAGACAATGCTAGCGCTGCTGATGCTCTGCAGCTTTTGAGAGAACGCTTTTCAAAAGCTTTGCACCCCACCTGGCTCTCAGCGTAGCTCTGCTGTACAACACGCTGAACTTCATACACAAGTCGAAGGCTGTGCAAGCTTTGTGGCCGCTAGTGAGGAGGGCGGAACATGAAACTACGAGCCAAGTCTGCACCTCCGGGTCATCTTGTTTGAAGACGCCATGTTGTCATGTGCCCCCCCCCCCATCTCATGTCGGAGTCCGCATCCCCTGAACCCGACCCACATCTGGGGCCAGCGGTCAGAGCTGTAGAGAAAAAGAATCGCTGAGTGCTGTGATTAGTGGTATCTTCTATCAATTTGATCAACTAAATGTTTCCTTTACGAGGTTTTGGATGACATCATTGTCCATCCCGCTGATCAAATTCTCCTCATGTGTATCTGACGTTGATCACAATCAACCTTTTCACAATAGATTTGTCTGCGGTCCAGTAAAAGTGCACAGTGACTGAGGACGTGGCAGCAAGTCCGTATGTCATAAAGGGGAATTCTTTAAAATGTTGCTATTCTGAGCAAAAGTGTATTTTTAAGTTGGGCACGATTAACATAATTGTGTTGTCTTTGTAAAGCAAATCAGTTGATTTAATAAGAAGGATACTTTATAGAGAGTATAGGATGCGTTATTTTGGCAATGAAAAGGAGAGACATTGGTGGAGGGATGAATCAAGTATAGTCTCGTAGTTTCTTTTAGGATCATCACCATATTCTGTCAATCCACCTCAAGACAATAAAAACACAATATTACAGACCAGGAGGCTTTCCTATGCGAGCATCTGGCACTATTTTGTACTAATTTTCACCTCAGCTGGATCTTGGGAGATTTTAGCGCCACCACCTGCTTCTGCAAAACTAAAACCTGAAGGTCCATTACGGTGGAATGTTCCTTTAATGTCTGTTTTATAACAATGGACCCCCCCCCCCCCCCTGCCGACAGGAAATCTAGCTCCACGTCAGTGAGCCAGGTGAAGGCCCAGGCCACACAGGCTATGGCAGAACCAGCCTATACCATACCGGTGTTCCGGCAGAGGTGAGTCCCCATTGGCTGCTGTCATATGTCAGGCTATTTTAGGTGTAAAGTAATACTGAGCTAGTCTCTGCTAGCTGACCACAGTCAAGATGGCACATTAATGTACTACATGAACATCATGCTGTATTGAAGAAGACTTGAAACTAGAGATTGAGACCATAAACTCATGTTTACAATGTTTACTGAGGTAATAAATCAAGAGAGAAGTAGAGTCATTTTCTCATAGACTTCTATACAATCAGAGGAGTCGCCCCCTGGTGGACAACAGAGAGAATGCAGGTTTAACACATGAAGCATCGACTTCACCACGCAGAACCGGAGGTTGCATAGGTACCGCCAAAGAAACCAAAACCGAGATCTTTGAATACGTGTTTGTACGGAGTCGTAGATCTCATATCAGTCTATGAGAATATCAGCTGCTGTTTGATATTTCTGAATCCCTAGGGGTTGAATCTAATCTGCAGATGAACTGTATTCTTCCTACTATGCCTCCAAGTTTAGTTCCTACTTTACTTTTTAAATTGTGAGATGGAAACATGGAGATTAAGTCAAAGGGCTTGAAATTAATTATTTAAGTGCTCATAAAAGACAAAAGTTTCAGGACTTGTTCTGTACATCACATGATTAATCACATGCGTGTTGTTGGTTCTTAGATTAGTAGTGGGTACATTTAAGTTTTGTGTTGGTAGGACTGCGGATGTGGGAACAGAGGAGTACCAGCGAGTGAGCACGAACGTTGAGAAAGGACTGAATGTTATTCAGGAGGAGCTGCACAGGATGAGGATGGTCACCAAGGCCCGAGTGGACAGTCTCGCTATCCAGAGAGAGGTAAGCAGCTCGGAGGTGTTTCATGCTGTTATAATTGTGTTATATACTGTACATGGAACCAAATCAAAACATGAAGTACCAGTACATGCAAAACTGCCTAATTTTATAAACTAAGTTGTCATAGCTCATGTTTAACAGCAGTGAAAATACACAGAAATCAAATCATTTCATCATTATTCATTGAAGGTTTTATATCGCACATATGCAGATGACACTCAACTGTACATGTATGTTTTACACACCACAATATTCTTGAAGATCTATTAGAATTTACTGAGCGAGTTTACACAAAGTCACATAGTGGAGGAGGGGACCATGAACCGTTTAAAATGGTACAAACCGTGCATTCAAAAAAATGACATAAATTGGATTTCACCAGTGATGAAACTTGTCCAGAGATTTTAGAGTTTGTTTGAGGACTCAAGAGGTCTTGTTGCTGTTTCACCATTCTGCCCCCAACATGTTACTCAATAAGACATTTGGGAAAGGATCATAGCGGGCATACATATGTTGGCTGCGTACAGTATTACGTATGTAACAATACATATTTATTAAAATGAAGGTAAAAGTTGTTGCTGCCTGACTCACTAACTCATTTGTCGATGTCAGTTTGGACCTGCTGATGACGACAACATGTGTGCACGGAAGGGTTTTATAGTGATGTCTTCTTTTTAATGTGCTGTATGCATTCTCTCGGTGCTACTTTACTCCCTCCAGGTTAACGAAATGATGTACAGGAGGAGGGATTCGTTGGAGGAAATCCCAAGGATGCCGGACTTCCTGGTGGCCCTGCGGCCTCACACCGTGTGGGAGAAGACTCCCGTCAAGCTGTTCTGCACCGTGGAGGGAACCCCAAGACCCGTCGTCAAATGGTCAGAGTATTCTCCTCCCACAGGAGCGGGTCTTAGACCTGACCTCAGTTTTCTTTTTATATACGCAAAAGCACATTTAAAGTGCGTGCTATTTGAGCTTACAGCATCCAAGTCTAATCATGAAGTGGTAACAACAGAATAATTTGCAAATACAAGTCGAGCTACAAAACAAATCAAACAAAAGTCACAATTAACTTGATTAACTCTTCATGATGGTTCTTCGTTTGTACTTTTTCCTCATGTAGACCCCTTTAATCAAAATGTTCAGCACACCTTCCCAGTTGTTATCACCTTGTAAATGTACTTTGCTATTTAAGTGCACAGCACATTTCTCTGTATTGTTGTACGGACCATCAGAGACTCATGTGTCCCCATAAACATGCTGGTTTTACCAGTTTAGAGTGAGAGCTGACAGCTGCCGGCTCTCTGCAGGTATAAGGGAGGAGTGCCAGTCGACCCACTGAGCGCCCCCGGGAAGTACAAGATCGAAAACAAGTATGGAGTCCACGGTTTGATCATCAGCAGGTACGCCCCCCAAACCCCAAACACTCTGCTGACGACACACTTTGGTTTGAAGAGTTTCTAAGGATATAATAACAGTGTTGAGGAAGATGTCAACTTCCTCCATATTACAGGAACTATTAAAGTTATGTTTATAGAGCACATTTCATACACACAGGCAACTCAAGGTGTTTCACATAACAGAGTTTAAAAAGACACCGGTAAAAAGAACAAAAGAATACATGAATCATTTTTTCAAAATGTTTAAAAACAAGAATAAAGTATTAAAAGAAGAAGAATAAAAGATTTAAAACAAAAAGTTTATAAAGAAGAATATGAGTATCAAATCAAAAAAAGTTTAAAAAGATAAGAAGAATAAAAAAAGTTTAAAAAACAAAATAAAAGTGCAAATATTTATATTTTAGCAGAGTTTAAGAGTAGGAAAATCCCTTTCTTCAATTGTCTTTTCTGCCTGGATAAAATGGAGAGAGAGAGAGAGAGAGGTAGAGAGGGAGAGAGGGAGAGAGGGAGAGGGTGAGGACTGTCAGATTGAGGGGGGCGGCCCAGCTGTTTGTCATCTTCAAGACTCCGCAGCTGTTCGTGTTGAAGTGCTGACCTTTGCATCATTCGAGCCACGAATTCCTCCCACTGCTCTCTCTCTCTCTCTCTCTCTCTCTCTCTCTCTCTCTCTCTCTCTCTCACTGTGAGAATATCTCCGGTCCTCCATCATTCCACATTGAAACTTTATGTCCCTGAATTTGTAAAAGTTAAGAATTTAGTCATTCAGAGCCCCGAGTGAAATGCTCGAAAAGAAGAAGAGCACAGACTCGGAAGATGGATCGTCTTTTAAAATAGTCCAGTCCAGGGGGGTGGGTGGGGGGAGGAGGTCACATTTCTTCCTTCTATTCTCACCCGGCACACCAGACTCCTGCCATCGGTACACCTTCTTTTCCCAGTGCTCTCTCCCCCGCATGTGAGATCATTGGTCAAAAGAAGGCGGTGCGTGATGTCCTTGTGTCGTAATCTGATTTCCATATCTTCTTTGATTGTAAAGCAGGTCTAGGTGCTATATAAATACTGTGAAAGTATCAACACGCTCAATCCACTGAGCAATGCTCACAGCCCGTATTCAGTGACTGCGTCTTTAAATGAGCCCTCTTAAAGAGACAGGCGCAAAAACGGAGCGTTTCAGGCAGATGGGGAATACAAGTGTATTCAGACAGACCGTACGAGAAAAATAAAGTGTTTTTTGAACATTAAAACATGTGAACATGTTCTGCAAGAAACCCAAATTACATGTATGAACCTTGAAATGAGCATGATATGTGTCCTTTAAATAAATAATTATTACAGACTAATAAAAGACACTCAAGTAGACATCATTCAAAGACAAGGCAGTAAAAGACGATATATGATGTTATAAACGTACACAGTTTAATTAATATACATTAAGTTTGATAATTTAAAAAATCTAATTCAAAACATTATATTGAAATACTGAAAAACTGAACATGTATTTTTCTTAGACATTTATGGAAAGTGTAAATCTATGGATTTATGCTTGTTTGAATAACATTGTGACGTGTTTGCTGTCTGGTCTTGTAGGTGTGCTGTGAGTGATACTGCTGAGTACAGTGCTGTGGCCATCAACCCACACGGCACGGCTACCAGCAAGGCTACAGTTACTGTGAAGAGTAAGTCTTTCATTTCATTTTATTTCATATTATTTCACATTATTTTATTTTTCTATACACATATATATATTGTTTTTTATGTAGCACCATTATTCACCTTCATGTTTCTCTTTTTATTCATGATTTTCTCTCCTTCACAGGACCAGCAGGATCCGGGGAGTCCTGCCTGCTTGGATTTGGTGAGGGGAGAGTGGAGGAGGGAGGGAGGAGGAGGTAGAGGGGAGGAGGGAGAGAGGAGGAGGGAGAGAGGAGGAGGTAGAGAGGAGGAGAGAGAGTGGAGGAGGGAGGGAGGAGGAGGGAGAGTGGAGGAGGGAGAGAGGAGGAGGTAGAGAGGAGGAGAGAGAGAGGAGGAGAGAGAGTGGAGGAGAGAGAGA